CAATTGTTACCAAAAGGAATGGTTGGTGATGGTCGAACTCGATCCTATTCATAATTAACCACAAAAGTGAATTTTCAAGAGTTTAGAATCTAGCCCTTAGCCCTTGGGCACTGTTTGAAACTTAACACAACGAGATCATTTACTGCAGTTTGATTAAAGGAGGCTTAATTGATTAGAATCTATGCATGTGGGAATAAAGTGGTTTTAATTAGCCTAATATAGCTAGGTAGATAATTATAAATGCATTTTTCATGTTGCCCTAGCCCTATAATGTAAGATCTCCTTAATTAGTCCTTATAATACCCCAACAATTTGTAATGCCACTTGGCAGATAGTGAACGAAAAGCATGTAGGTCGGGTTCATAATATCCCTGCACACATGAAATTATGATCTTTTTACTGATTTGTAAGCGCGAGCTTGAAACATATATGACAAACACACATATATATATATATATATATATTGATTAATGTATCTATATAATATTATATATATATATGGTAGTACTATGTACTAGGTTCACATAAATAAGGTACTATGGATGGCCATTTTTTCTTCTTGCATGAAATGCTTGTCCACGGAATATGCTGTATTTTTTTCTCTGTATTATGTGGTTCATATTAGTTTTAAGCTCTTAAAGTCCACCACTAATAGCTTTCAGTGTGCTAGCTACTTCTCTCCATTCTTGTTGACCAATTAGTACAGTATTTTGTTTTTAACTAATTATTATATATGAGATATGAGAAATCATTAATTAATGTATAAGAGAACAAAAAAGAGTAAATAGTTTTTCTTTGCTACTTCTCTGCTACTAACCAATTAATATGTTCTCACATAATTAGTACAATAAATTTACGTAATCAGTCATTTAGTATGCTATATTGATCTTCTGCTTTTACACACACACACACACAAATATACCAATTAGACCCGTTCTACCATGTTTACTTTAACTATTTATACAACTCAAATTTGGAGTAATTTGTATTATAAATAATCTGATTTTTAGTGTGAATGTTTTGGATATGTAAATAAATTATAATTTAAATTGGGAATAAAATTTGAATTGTGTTTGGATTGAAAACTGTCATTAGAGTTTTACAAATAAAACCTCATTGTAAATGATGAATTTCAAAGAATTTTCTCTCTCTTTATTATGAACACAGAAAAAAAAATCTCCACATTTGGAATTTTAATGAATAAGGTATGATATTTTTAAATTTGGAATCGAAGAGAGAAAAAAAAAAGTAAAAAAAAAAAATTGTGTTTGAACTTTTTAACAGTTTGAATTGTTGAATTTATCGCGGGGAGATGTATTCTAAAATCAATAATTTAAATTGTAGTTGATGATTTGAATGACCCATCTTTATTTTTAAACCAAACACTAATTTGAATCTTTAGGCACAAATTCGAATTAAAATGTTTGGTTTAACATTAACACGAATCTTAAATAATCATTTTTGTTGATTTAGAATTGCTTTAAAGTGTTCTACAAGAGCTGAATATTCTCTTATATTTCCACTGTGCAACCCATATGCCATAGCTCTATGACCAAGTTTAGATGAAAAAAAAAAAAATATATATATATATATGTGTGTGTGTGTGTGTGTAAGTGTGTATATGTACATAATAAGTGAGGCATTATCTATCATTTTTTCATCTTATATGTGATGATTATATATTCTGGTATAGTCATGTGAATATATAAAGATCATGTGTCTATGTATAATTGATTTCCACCTTTAGCGTTGTGTGTGTTTTTCTTGTGATACTTTTTGGATATTAGTTTTTTGAAGTTATATCGTGATTTTGTTGATTCGGCCAACATAGTGGACTGAAGCTTCTATTGTTTCTTACTATGTATGTTGGCATAATTCTATGAATTAGCAGTTTGAGATATGTTTTTGTAATTTCCAAAAATTTCATGATTTCTTATACCAAAGATATAAACTTGTTAGATAGAGAGACCTTTCAAATTTTGAAATTACCTCATTGCTATGGATATATTATATTGACATGTAATTTGAGTCAATAACTAAAGTTCCATTATTGTTGAACTAATCATTTGGCTTTAGAAATTCCATGAAAAGAATATTGTATTAAATTATAGTTACGGGGTATTTATAATTAAAGAAAATAATATGGATATGATTTCTCATTATTGACCATATATATGTACGTGATAAGTGCTATATTTCATACTTGTTTTGATCAATTTTTTCTATATTTTCTTACTTTAATTTATTCTTGAATATCTCATAATTTAATGGTGTTTTTGTGTTTTGTACGTGTATTCTAGAGGCAAAAAAAGTTTAGAAGATCAAAAAGACGTTTTGAAAAAGTCCCAAGCACGCGCCGTGGCTGAAGAAAAGGGAGTGCTACGACAGTATTGATAGGCAGAGCTCAACCACACTCAAAATTCACCGATACGAGTTTTCAATTTTAGGTTTATACAGTAAAAAGCTCTCAGAAAATATGATATCTAACTTTTTCTGCTACAGTAAAAAGCTCTCAGAAAATATCATATCTCAACTCGAATCTGCGAAGTGAACGAGGCCTTAGAGCTACGGCCCTGGTGCAATCTTTCCTAATTTTAACTTCTAAAGGGCATCCGAATTTTTCTGTTTTCGACTCAACTTTGAAAGCTATAAATAGGTGTGATTATTGAGACACATTTTTCCTCAATTTTTCTTAGTCGTCTTTCGAGAGATAGAGAGAAGCAATGAGGAATTCTATTGGAGCTCATGAAGATTCATCTACGTAGAGAATTCTTTAAGATCAACGTAGAGTTTTTATCTTTTTCTTCGTCCTCTTGAACTCCTTATGTTTCTAGTTTATTTTTTTTGTTATTTGATTTTGCAATTATGCTAGGTTAAATTTCTTTTTGATTTATCATGTAAATTATATTTTATCAGTCGTAACAGAATTGTAAAAATTATTTTTACCAGTCGTAAATAAATTATTCTAGATCATTATAGAAATATTATCATTAGTGCCCCTAAATTTTAGGCTTGTCTCCCGTTTCTCCCTTAACCTTTAAAAACTCTTACTTTTTTTCTCTTAAATTTTGAATTGTTCTCACTTAATCTTTTATGTTGTAATTTCTATTAAAAATAAAAAATGAATAACTCAGTCACGTGATTCTTATATTTAGATTTCTATTAAAAAAAATAAAAATTAAATGACTACACTTATGAGACGTTTCGTTCATGGATTAGAATCGTGTGATTAGAATTATTTTTTATTTACGTGTATTTTTTGTGAGAGAAAACACTGTAATGAACCATGAACCATGATTCAAGTCATGGTTTAAATCCTCCAACCAAACGTCCCCTTAATCACATATTTTTCAGTATGATTTAAACAAAAAATCTTATAAAAATGATTAAATGAGACAAATTTAAAATTTAAGAGGTGAAGTGAGAGTTTTTTAAATTTAAAAGATAGAATGATAATGATTTCAGAATTCAAGGGGACTGGTGAAAATATTACCACATATAAAATATGTTAATTTATCTCGAAAAGGAAAGAGAAAAAAAAAAAAAGGAGAAAAGTAGTTCCGGGCTCGGGTCAGCCCCATTGTAATGTGGTAACGAGCCCCATACCCACTCTGGTCCTTTACATAACAAAACAAACCAGTAAAAGCAAAGGCATTACAGCATCATTTTTGTCCCTTTATTCTCAGCCTTCACGACTCCCATGCACTCTTCTCCGCGCCCATAGACTCTCTCTCTCTTACATTACATGTGTATATACACACACACATATATTTACATACATATATATACGTATATAACATCCCATGCACACAAATGGATACGTACACATACATACATAGATAGATGCATCCCACATGCACTGCATATTCATAATGTGCATCAAACAAAATGAGCCACTATTGTTACCATTACAGAGGAGAAGCTACACAGTACCTTTTTTTTTTTTTCTTTTGTCTAATATAATAATGAAATAACATAATATTTTTGTTATCCTTTATTTCTCCAAGATGGAGAGAGAGAGAGTGATAGAAGAGATATTGGACATTCAATCGTCAAAAAAAACGTCTCCTTCACTTCTGCTCTGCTGCTGTCGTTACTGGCTTTTTCTGGGTATTCCACCAGAACAGCCTCATATCACATATCATGTCTTTATTTTGTATCAGCACACGTAAATACATAAATAGATTAACATCTTATTCATTTTATCAATTTAAATTTAAAATTTTTACATAAAATTACATCTTAATTTAAATTAAAAATTTTAATTAATAAATTAAACAGATCTTAAATTTTTTTTAAAAAAACATCAATCAAAATTCATTTAACATTCGATTTCTCTTTTCCATTCTCTCTCCTTTCTTTTTCAATTTTCACATCACACAGTTATACTCTTACACAGCCAGAAAGAGAGAGAAAAAAAAAAATTCTAGCCTTTTCTGTTGTTTTAGTAAAAAAAAATAAAAAAATAAAAACCCATAAAAGAATAAAAGAAAAAGAGGGGGGGAAAAAAAACAAGGGCAGGGCAGGGTCAGGCAGGCCAGAGCAATGGATTAGCCACACTTTTTTTTTTTTTTTTTTTTGGGTATTTGTCACTTACAAAGCCACAAACAAAACCATATATCTCTCTCTCTCTCTCTCTCTATCTATATATCTCTACTCTCATATTCTCAATCTGTATTTCTGTGGGTTTGTGTCTAGAAAAATTCTCGAGATTGGCGTCCGAGAAAAAGACCACCAACAACACCACTGTTCAAAAACACATACAACACCACCTCTCTCCAGTCTTTCCTCCCCTTTTTTCTATCTCTAGAGAGAGGAACTTTTAGAGAGAGAAGAAAGAAGACGCAAACAACAAACAAAGCAAAGCAAGGGCCTTACCCGCTGATGAACGAGAGCGGAGGCTCTCTTGGTGAAGAGAGCCTGCCCCTTGACAGCAGCAGCAGCAAGAACAACAACAACAACAACAACAACAACAACAACAACAACAACAAAAACACAGCAGAAGAAGAAGAAGATCAACACCAACAATAGAGTAAAGAAAAGAAAAAAAAAGTCTCATTCTTTCTCAAAGATATCTGTTTAGGACCACAAAGAAGACTTTTTTCTTTTCTGGGTAGTCCTTGTTCTTTGGTGTTTGTTGTTATGTTTAATGGGCAATTTTTTTTTTTAGGCGCTCAGATTATAGAGCTTTCTTTTGCATGGCGCTTGTGATCCACAAAGACAACAGTAATAACATCAATAAGCAAATGGATAGCAGTAAGTACGTGAGATATACTCCAGAGCAAGTTGAGGCTTTGGAGAGAGTCTACTCGGAATGCCCAAAGCCTAGCTCCTTGAGAAGGCAACAGCTCATTAGGGAGTGCCCTATTCTCTCCAACATTGAGCCTAAGCAGATCAAAGTTTGGTTTCAGAACCGCAGGTATATTTATATATCTATATATTCTATATATTCTATATATATATATATATATATATATATTATATTTATGAATGTGTGATGGGAAATATGTAATGGGTTTTCTGTGTTCGGTCTTATGTGTGAATGAGTGTTTTTGAATCCACAAGAATATTTCTGTCTTTTATTTTGATCACTTTCTGTGATTTCATTTCACATTCTTTGTTTTGAATCTGGAAGTTTTTTTTTTTTTTTTTTGCCTCACTTTTGTTCTAAGCTCTGGTAACGGAGTCATTTTTTAGGTGGGGTTTTTTTTATATCTATTTTCTCATCTGATTATGCACTTTCTTGTATTGTTTTGTTTTACTCTAGTGTTGGACCTTCTTTGTCTTCTGGGGCTGTCTCAAATTTCTTCTATTAAGATTTTTTTTTTCCTCATTTCGTTTGTTTGAATAATAAAATAAAAAATGAGGAATCAAACATAGGTCTGCTCTGCCGTTGTTGTCTAGATGTGGGTAATGCTTGTTGAATCAACTGACATAATAAACTTCTTTTTTTATTCTATTTTGCTTGGGAGTTTTGGGAAAATGCGCTTTTTTTCTTTTTCTTTCATGCTTCATGCTTATTTCATATCTTCTGTTGAGTCTTTTGAAAAAGCACTGCTTCTTTGGGAATCAAAAGTTTTCCTCTTTTTCCTCGTTTTTGTACACTAGTATCTTTGTGTTTATTTTTTAAACCATTTTATCAATATTTTACTCCTTAGAATTACAAGGAGAATTTCAAGAGATTTTCTTTTATGCGTGGGTTGTGCCTCCTCTAGCTGTTATCTGCTTAATGAAAAAGGATTTTGTCCATTTCCTGTGGATAGTATTGTTTTATTCTTCTTTACCCATTTTTCTACTTTTTAGATAGTTATTTTTATTATTATTATTATTTTTATTTTTATTTTTATTTTTATCTCCTTACTCTCTTTCTTCTTTCTTTTTCTCTCTTCTTTTGTAGATGTCCTCAGGGAAAGCTTTTTGTTTTGAAAATGCCTGACAATTTCATTACAAAAGAGTTTTTCTTTTTCTCTTTTGTCACGAGTTTTTTGAACTTAATGAAGCGTGATGACAGCGAATTAAGTGGCTTTAAGATGTCTTTTTACTTTTTCTATACTACTTTTCTTTATTTCAAATCCTGGGTTTTCATACTAATAATAATAATAATAATAATAATAATGATGATGATGATGATGATGATGATGATGATGATGTTACTGAAGTTCTCAGAAGGGAAACTTTTGTTTGGTACTGAGCCTTTTATATATCTTCATGCAACGGTAGTGAATGTGCGAAATATAAAATGAGAAATAACAATGTGCCAGGTCCCTCCCCAGAATAGGCCTTGGCTTGCTTTCCTCTGCTTTTGAAGGATAATGACCGCACAGAATTTATTCTGTCCATATGATATTCTTTTTACCCTTAATTTGTCTTTTCTGCAGAGGAATTGATTTTAAATCTTTGGTAGCTAACATGTTAAAAGTCCTACTTCTATGGAGAAGCAGGATACGGGTTTTTGTTAAATCTTTATCATGTTTCGCTAAATGTTATCATACTTTTTTTAATCTAATATGATCTCGATTTAATATAACAGTTAAAAATTGTATTGTTTTTATCATTCATTGGTTTGTAAAGGAAGTTTTCTCTGTTCTCTTTTCTTCTTTATAGTGCACAACAATGTTTTTATACTACCCGTGATTCAATGCTTGTTATACTATAACCATAAAATCCAACTTTCTCTCTCTGTTTAGTATGCTTATGCTAGTGGCCAAGACACGATCTTTACAAATGTCTGGAGTGTTTTTCAGCTTCTAAATCAATGACTTAATCGCTAAAACTCGATAATTGTTAATGTTCTTTCTGTAGATGTCGAGAAAAGCAGAGGAAGGAAGCTTCTCGGCTGCAGACAGTGAATCGAAAGCTGTCTGCAATGAACAAGCTGTTGATGGAAGAAAATGATCGCTTGCAGAAGCAGGTTTCTCATTTGGTTTATGAGAACGGATATATGCGACAACAACTGCATACTGTAAGCCTTCTTTTCATATGTTCTAAAGGCCAAATCTTATCGCATTTTGTCATCTGTATTGCCTACTGTTGTTTTGAATAACTTTATGATGTTGCATTTTCATTTTAAGAACTCTATTGTTCGTGTTTAACAGGCGTCCGGGGCGACCACAGACAATAGTTGTGAGTCTGTGGTCATGAGTGGTCAAAACCAACAACAGCAAAACCCAACACCTCAGCATCCCCAAAGGGATGCCAACAACCCAGCTGGGTAAGAAATTTTCTTCTTTTTGGATCAAAATTTCCATTGTTATGATTTTGGATCGAGAAGCTTATGAACCTTCTATATATGTTAGTCTCCTAGCAATAGCAGAGGAGACCCTGGCAGAGTTCCTATCCAAGGCTACCGGAACTGCTGTCGACTGGGTCCAGATGATTGGGATGAAGGTAAAATACTCAAAAAATTCTTCAAATTTTGTTTTAGACATACATGTTAATAATGCATGTAATGAATTGGTGCTTGTGCTTTAAGATCTCTTTTAATTTGTTAAGGGTTTGATTTTGTAGCCTGGTCCGGATTCTATTGGTATCGTTGCTGTTTCCCGCAACTGTAGTGGGGTAGCAGCACGTGCTTGCGGTCTTGTGAGCCTAGAGCCCGCAAAGGTACTTGTAGTTTGATCCCCTCAAATTGAGTTTCTCTTTTCTTTTTTGGGGTCTAAAATAAACTATAAAATTATTGAATGTAGGTCGCTGAGATACTTAAAGATCGTCCATCGTGGTTTCGCGACTGCCGTTGCGTTGATGTGTTGAGCGTAATCCCTACTGGAAATGGTGGGACGATTGAGCTCATATACATGCAGGTTAGCTAATGAGAACAGTTTTGTTTGGTTGTTTTTTGAGAAGTATGAAATCACATCTACTTTTTCATTTTCTAACTTTTGAATTTCGTTCTCCAGACATATGCGCCTACAACGTTAGCAGCAGCCCGTGACTTTTGGACACTGAGATATACTACTAGTTTGGAAGACAACAGTCTTGTGGTAATTAAATAAATATTTCCTTGTGAAGTATTATTTGTCCACTTTCAATGTTTTTGTTTTCTTCTTTGGTCTTTTACCGATTAAGATACAATATTGCAGATATGTGAGAGGTCCTTGACGACTTCTACTGGTGGTCCAACTGGTCCTCCATCTTCATGTTTCGTAAGAGCGGAAATGCTTCCGAGTGGATACCTGATCCGACCTTGTGAGGGCGGTGGCTCTATTATTAATATTGTTGATCATGTTGATTTAGATGTGAGTTAAAATATCCAGTTTGGCAATTTTGATCGACGTATGCCGAAATCTGATATTCAATCGGCTTTTTTATTTTAAACTGCTTTGTTTGTCAGGCTTGGAGCGTTCCCGAAGTTCTCAGGCCACTTTATGAGTCATCCAAAATCCTTGCTCAGAAAATGACAGTTGCTGTAAGAACTACTATAATGAATTTCCTTTTTTCTTTTGGTTTCTTAGTTAAACATTTACTTTTTCTAATTTATGTTTATCTTCGCACATATAGGCCTTGCGGCATATACGGCAAATTGCTCAAGAAACTAGTGGAGAAATTCAGTACGGTGGAGGTCGGCAACCCGCTGTCTTAAGGACATTTAGTCAGAGACTCTGCAGGTAAGATTCTCAAACTTGTTAATAAAAAAGGCTTTGAAATTGCTGTCCATTTGGACCTTCAATCGAGTACGTCATGCTTGGAGTGTTCCTATTGAAGAACTTTTATTTTAATTTGTCCCCTTAACATTGTCCATTACCTGTGAATGGTTTTAGGGGTTTTAATGATGCTGTTAATGGGTTTGTGGATGACGGATGGTCGCTGTTGGGTAGTGATGGTGCGGAGGATGTTACCATTGTCATAAATTCTTCTTCAAACAAATTCCTTGGATCGCAGTACAATGCGTCAATGTTTCCAACTTTTGGAGGGGTGCTGTGTGCCAAGGCCTCTATGCTGCTTCAGGTAATCTAACAATACCTATAAAAATGTTGTCCTCTCTCTGGCTGGGCCGGTCCTTGCTGAAACATTTAAGTCATAAGTATAGGATGTCATTACAACTTCGGATTAACCAGTGTGTGATATCTTGTTATATGAGTCATTGATTTCATAGTTCTTTGTCATGCTTGCAGAATGTTCCCCCTGCTTTGCTTGTTCGTTTCCTGAGGGAGCACCGATCGGAGTGGGCTGATTACGGGGTTGATGCTTACTCTGCTTCATGTCTTAAGGCTAGTCCTTATGCAATTCCGTGTGCAAGGCCTGGGGGCTTTCCCAGTAGCCAGGTCATTTTACCTCTTGCACATACGGTGGAGCATGAGGAGGTAAATACTCGATCACTTGAAGAAGTCATTTCTCATGTCTCATGTCTCATGTCTCATGTCTCTATCATATTATAGTGGATAATAGTTAGATCTTGAAGCTCTGCCTTTTATTACTTATTGCAGTTTTTGGAAGTAGTTCGGTTGGAGGGCCATGCTTTCTCACCCGAAGAAGTTGCTTTGGCACGGGATATGTACTTACTACAGGTTAGAGGCTACTATAACTCATTTCTTATGGTTAACCCAAACTGTTTGTTTGTTCAATGGAGTTTGAGCTTATTGTTTTTGCAATTTTCCTTTCTAATGCATTTTTTTTTTTGTTCTTGACAGTTGTGCAGCGGTGTTGATGAAAGTGCAGTTGGTGCCTGTGCTCAGCTCGTTTTTGCGCCCATTGATGAATCCTTCGCTGATGAAGCTCCATTGTTACCATCTGGTTTCCGTGTCATACCTTTGGACCCCAAAGCAGTTCAGTGAAACAGCTTAACTTAATGCCATAATTTTCATTTGTTGTTGAAAACTTGTTAGCTGATTGTTATTTATTTGAATGTCATTTTGCTTATCTTATATTTCCTTCTCTATATGCAGGATACACCTGCTGCTACTCGCACACTCGACTTGGCCTCGACTCTTGAAGTAGGATCTGGTGGTGCTCGTCCTTCTAGTGAAGCTGATACAAATAGTTATAATCTTAGATCAGTCCTGACTATCGCCTTCCAATTCACTTTCGAGAACCATACACGAGACAATGTGGCTGCTATGGCCCGCCAATATGTGCGTAGTGTTGTTGGGTCTGTTCAGAGGGTTGCTATGGCTATTGCTCCATCCAGGCTCGGCTCCCAGTTGGGGCCAAAACCCCTTCCTCAATCTCCAGAGGCTCTTACTCTGGCTCAGTGGATATGTCGAAGCTACAGGTATGGCTAGTATCTAAGATAGATGTCTTACAATCTACTTTGGAAAAAAAAAAAAAAATCCCCAATTGTGTTTTGTTTTATCTTCATCCCTTTTCTTGTATGTTTTAGGATACACACAGGAGGAGAGATTTTTCAAGTTGAATCCCAGTCTGGTGATGCTGTTTTAAAGCGACTTTGGCACCATTCAGATGCAATTATGTGCTGCACGGTTAAAACAAATGTATGGATTCTTCCCTTTTTCGCCTAAAAATATTTTGATTTCTTTACTTTACTGCCGTTGTATGCAAGTAAAAGGCAAACTTGAAAAAAATGTTATTGCAGGCATCTCCTGTTTTCACCTTCTCGAACCAGGCTGGTCTTGACATGCTTGAAACAACTCTCGTGGCTCTTCAAGATATCATGCTCGACAAGATTTTCGACGAAGCTGGTCGAAAGACTCTCTGCTCTGAGTTCTCCAAAATCATGCAGCAGGTAAGTGAGACTTTGGCAATTCTGAATCATAATGAAGACTAACTGGGGACCCTTACAAAGTGAAACATTCTTAAACGTCTTTTTTTTCCACCAAAAACTGTAGGGTTTTGCCTATCTGCCAGCGGGAATATGCGTGTCGAGCATGGGGAGGCCGGTGTCGTACGAGCAGGCCGTTGCATGGAAAGTTCTTAACGACGATGATTCCAATCATTGCCTGGCTTTCATGTTCATGAACTGGTCTTTTGTGTGATGGTGAAAAAGAAAGTACTTGAAAAAAAAAAAAACACCTTGTTCTTATTATCTATTTAAGTTATTTATAGTTGCTTCTATAAGTATGTAGACAATTATGACAGTGACTAGTACTCCATGGCAGGATTTTCATGAAAACTTCCATGCCTGTATGTAACCTTTATGTTTTGGCTAAATGGTATGAACATATTATGGTAAGAGTTTTATGTTGTCTCAAGTTTTGTTTTTTTTTTTTTTCAGAACTTTGGTTTAACATATCAACCAAAGTGGATGAGTGTTGGGAGTTTGGGTTGCAGCATTGGGGGTCATATTATTTTAGACAATGATGAACTTGTTTTAGTACCTGGGTGGATGATGGTTATTGGTACTTGTCCAACGCCTTTGTCTCAATGTGACAAAATACAAGTTTGATTAAGTTTAGTTTTCAATTAGGAATATGTGACTTTCTAGTCAGATAACTACCATGTGTACAAATTTAGCCTCTATGATCTTTACCAATGTATATGTCATGTTTATTTTATCGATTCGAGTTTTACTACAGTAAAAAGCTCTCAGAAACAATCACATTTAATTTTTTTACTACAGTAAAAGGTTCTCACATAAAGTCACATATCAACTCAAATTAAAAACTTGAATCAGCGAACTAACTCGAATCAGCGAACTAAATGGACCAATAGATACTACAAGTTAACTACCTCATCACAAGAGGACGTTTGGTTCATGTATTCAGAATCATGATTCAAAATCATTCTTATTTTACGTGTATTTTTTGTGAAAAAAAACACTTTTAGAAAATCATGAATTATGATTCAGAATTAATGACGAATATATAAAACAAACGTCTCCATGTTTATGTACGAAAACATATATAGAGGAAAGGAGAAGTACATGTACACTTCTGTCTAAATTACAAAAACACTTATAATCAAAAATGGTTTTTTATGGGTGTGCCCGATTGTGAGGAGGCACCCCATCTTCTGAGATTACGGTTCTATTTTGCAAGTCTTTTAGAGAGAATTGTCTTATGTTTCTTGGAATTCTTAACCTACCCACTGGTGTTAAACAAAATTTCAACCATCAATTAGTTATGATTCTATTTTGTAAGTTTTTATAGAGAGAATTGTCTTACGTTTCTAGGCATACTCGATCTACTCTTCGATGTTAAACAAAATTTCAACCATCAATCAGTTAGCGGTTCTATTTTGTAAGTTTTTAAAATTATTTTACGTTTCTAGGCATACTCAACTTACTCACAGGTGTTAAACAAAATTTCAGCCATCAATCAGTTAGCGGTTCTATTTTGTAAATTTCTTAAAGAGAATTATCTTACGTTTCTAAACATTCACGATCTACCCACCATGTTAAACAAAATTTCAACCATCAATCAGTTAACGGTTCTATTTTGTAAATTTCTTAAAGAGAATTATCTTACGTTTCTAAACATTCACGACCTACCCACTATGTTAAACAAAATTTCAACCATCAATGAACTATATATGTATATTTTTTGAAAATATCAATCAATTATATTAAAATTTAGTCCTTAATTGTTTTCTTCAAATTGCATGAGTGTGGGGGGGGTGTCTTATCTTCATCCACATAACAATTGTTTCTTTGTGACGGTACAATTTTGTTAGTTTTCTCTCGTTTTACTCCAAATTTTTTTGCCTCATCCATTTAATGCCACCATAAACAAGAATTGGCCAAATCTCAAAATAAATAAATTAAATGGGACCCCTATAGCCATAATCATATATATATATATATATATATATTGGTTTGATGAGATTCTTTTTATTTTGTTTTTTTTTTTTTTCATGTTGGTGAGATCCATTTCACAGTAAACGAAGTTGATGGGCCAAAAATTTGATCCCCCCTTGACAGAGGTCATTTTCCAAGGCTTCAAAGCCTGCAAATGTGACTCTGCACAAAAGGAGAAAAGAAAAAGGGTGAACGACAATTTTAAAATAAATTGCTGCAGATTTGACAGAAGCCAATTAATTTTTGGGACTTTTGCAGCAAATCGGTCGGAGATACCTACCTATTACTCATAAAGAAAAAGCTACGCTGAGGAAAAAGAAAATCCAATTTTCAGTCCATCACCTTTTACAATAAATGAATGGCCTCAGAATATCTATTCCTCTTAATTACTATCATAATGGTATTCAGACAGATCTTTACATTTACGCCCATAATGTTTCTGGTTAGATTTGAAGCTTTTTTTTTTTTTTTTTTTTTTTTTGAGGAAAGATTTGGAGCTTTTACCTGAGATAAAAAATTAAGGGAGTTTTTTTTTTAAATATTAGTGTTTTTTATTTTTTTAACTGTTAAATTTAATTAAAATTATATTAAAATATATAAATATAAAGTAATAAATTATGATATAAAAATATGAGGGTTAAAAAATAAAAAATATCAGTATTTTTAAAAAAGAAAAAAACACCTAAAAGAGTCTCAAAAACTAATAAATAAATGGCTAATTTTTTGAGCAGCTAGTGAGGTGAGTTATGTTTTTTTGTTAATCTCTTTTCTACTTTAGTATCAAAAGTTATTGCGAGTAAATGCATCATTATATTTTGTCCAAACCTGTATAACTTTTGGCATTTCAAAATAGTGTGAATCATAGGCATTATGCCACGTTATTTAATGTACTTAGACAAAAAATTATGTTAGAGTTGTTGGAATTTTAGTTTTTTTTTTTTTAAAATAATATAGTATAATGTGGTTGGTTAGATACTATAATATTTAAAATGTTAAAATTTAGTAGAAGATACTTCTTTTGTATTTTTAAAACATAAATAGAGGAGAATAACATTTTTCTTTCAAAACTAAAAGAAGGAAATAGCAATGGAAGAAAATAGGTGAAAAAGAATATATTAGTTTTTTTAGAAAACAATTTTTGAAAATTCAGAAATTACCCTCCAACTTCATTTGCTATTGAGGCTTCGTCTTCGCTATGGATCCAGGGCATTTGGATGGTTTTTGCTGTCAGCGCGGGAATGTCGTTGGAGGAAGCCAAGCTTCGTTATGTGGGACATTGGAGAAGCTCGAGAGTAGGGTTGTCAATGGGGGCGGGGCAGGCTTTTAGCTGACCCACACCAACTCGCGCTTAGACTCACCCCGTAATGACCCGTACTACATTACTTAGTGGGGCGGAGCATGTCAATAACTAGCGGGTTTGCGGAGCGGGACAGTGCCCCTCGACCCCCTTTTTTTATGGAGAATAAAGAAGGATAACTTTATATTATTTTTGTTGGGACCGAGACTAGTATATTTCATTTCTATAAGGAAAAAAAAGAAAAAAGAAAATGAAGACTAGATTATAAAGAGCACTAGTAGAGATAAAAATAAAAATAAAACATATACCCAGAATAAAACTTGCAAAATGTAATTTTAATAATTTTAGGGTCAAAATGTAATTTTTGAACAAAATATAACTTTTTAAAAGTTTTGGGGTCAAAATAAAATTTTTTAAAAATTATAGGGTCAAAGTGTAATTTTTATAAAAATTTTGGGATCAAAATATAATTTTATAAAAATTTTAAAGTCAAAATGTAATTTGTTAAAACTATAATGGACGAGTTTTGTTCGACCCATCCCAAACCGCAACTAATAAGTCTTGACCCGCACCGCCCCACAAACAATTATATGCGGGTCAGACCCGCCCCATTATAGGTGGGGTGTGGCCCCATTGACATCCCTACTTGGGAGCCTCCACTCATGAATGGTACGAGATGTTCCCCGCCAATGAAGTCCAGCCATCGAGAATGACGTCACGAGGATCTTTTAAGGCTTCATGGGCTAAGCCAACAGTGGGGCGGATAAGAGGCGATTATGTTGACCCCGCGCGATTTTGATCGATTTCCTCACACGACTCCATCGTTGTGAACTTCGACGACAACTCTTATTTACTTTGATGATAGTGCTTCTGAAAATTCAAAAATTTTAAATCCAAAATCTACTATATAATTTCCTCACCCTAAAAAAATATATGCTATTAATATTTATTCTTCCCTCTAATATATATAATTTCCCACTTTCTCCTTTTTGAAACGTGGTGTTCCGCCTTACATTTTCATAAATGTCGTACATATTCTATGTATTTTATATTTTATGTTAAAATCTCTTTGTGTAAATTTTAATAAGAGTAAGTTCACTATTCTATCACAAAAGTTTAAGTTATTAAGAGATATACCAAGAATAGTTTTATATTTTAAATAATGAACAATCGTGTAAGTAAATTAAAAGAATAATGAGTGAATTACAAAGTTTGAACTCAGAACATCATGCTTTTCTTTTTGTTGTTTTAGTTTACAGAGTTATCAATAAATACAATCATAGTGGAAAGTAATCCAATTATATAATGTCTTTTTCTATCCAAAAAGCAAGCAAGAATAAATCATGTGATGTTAGGGAACATCACAAGAAATTTATATGACTCCCTGAAAGAAGAAATAAGACATGTTTTGAAATCAAAAGATAAAGTGGTTGTTGAAGACATCAAGCGGAACCTGAAAAATAGAGAATTGTAAATAAAATTATAGAAATCACAATCAATAATACAAAAATAGAGTAAGAAGGATGGACTTATCTTAGAAAGGAATGAAATTCCAGCAAATCTGAATGGTGATCAAATAGAAACAACCTTAATGGGATTGGAATGGCGTATTCAACCGAGAATACAATTCAATTGACAGAAGAAGATATAAAGGAAGGTTCGTTTAGAAAAACCTTCCTTTCAAACCTCCATATCTCCTAATTCAAAAAACTAAGAATAGTAAATAGCAAATTCATGAAACTAAATTAAGTAAATAGCACATTTTAAAATTATTTAAAGTAAATAATAATTTACCATGTAAATAGTTTATTTATGACTAGTAAAAAGATTTTTTTTAAATACGTTTTCTTTTTACAATTGATAAAAAGATTATTTTCTACGTAAATAAAATTTTTTTATCACGTAAATTATTTTGTACCAATCATAAATAAAACATTTACACAATAAACTACTATAGTTTTAAAATCTACTATTTACTCAATTTAATTTTAAAAACTACAATTTCCATTCAAAAACTGTATAAACAAAAGCTATGAAGACTAGTAACCAGACCAATATCAACAAACTCTTTTAGTTTGAGATGTACGTATCTATTGCAAGTAAGAGAGAAAAAACCATTAAACTCACAAGAGAAATAACATGAAACTATTAATCAA